TTTGTATCATTTGAGTTTTGAAACTCGTGAATATGTTACCTATTAATCTTCAAGCACTTTTGTCACATTCGATGAACAAATCTCTTATTTTGAACATAAAGAGTATAGTGTTTGACTCATCATTACCATTGATTTTTTTTTAAGATTTATTTATTTATTTTAGAGAGAGAGAGGAAGGAGAGTGTGCATGCAACTAGGGGGAGGGGCAGAGGGAGAGGGAGAGAAGCCTAAGCCCACTCACCACTGAGCATGGAACCAACTTGGGGCTCGGTCTCACCACCCATGAGCTCACAGCCCAAGCTGAAATCATGAGTTGGAGGCTTAAGGGTGACCTTAGTCACCCATGTGCCCCACCATTGATTTTTAAATAAACTTTTCTTGAGGCATAACATACCTACAGAAAAGTACAGAAGTCATAATAGTACAGCTTGATGAACTTTCACAAAGTGAACATACCTGTGTAACTGGCACCCAGATCAAGAAACACCACCAATCTCCCTCAGGCCCCTCCTAGTTGCTACCCACGAGGAGTGTATGTATATGTGTGTGTGTGTAATATATATATTTACTTATATTTATAAATGTATTTACATATATTGCTACTCACAAGGATAAATATATATGTATATTTACTTATATTGCTATCCACAACGGTAAACATATATCTTTACTTCTATTTATAAATGTATTTACATATATATATTTTTAAAAGATTTTATTTATTTATTTGAGACAGAGAGAATGAGAGGCAGAGAGCATGAGAGCGAGGAGGGTCAGAGGGAGAAGCAGACTCCCCGCTGAGCAGGGAGCCCGATGCGGGACTCGATCCCGGGACTCCAGGATCATGACCTGAGCCGAAGGCAGTCACTTAACAACTGAGCCACCCAGGCGCCCTGTTTTTTATTTATTTAGAAAAATAGTTTCTTTTCCTCACCACTAAATATATTTGAACAAATATTTAAAGAATGTCATTTTAAAGGCACATGGGGTTATCTGCCTTCACGAGAGCACCCGCAGATCACCTTCTGGCCCTTCTGTTTTAGCCATGTGAAAACCTCGGAGCTGTTCCTGGTTGAAACCAAACCCCTGCCCCTAGGAAGATGCGTTCCTTCCCTCTTGTGGCCATATTTGGCTACTGCACCCAAGCTAGGCACCCAGGTCAGCCGAGGACTTTTCCAAAGCTTAAGCCAGGGTGCAGAACAAAATAAGCTGGGCTCCGTTCTGGGCTGGCATTTTAGAGCAACTCTTTTGGCGAAGTGACCTGACCGTCCCCAGCTTGGGTAGCACCTACAAGGTTGCCTCTGTGGTTGGTAGATGGTTTCACGGGGAGGAGATGGTTAGAACGGGGAGTGGGGAGGGGCAGCTGAAGGTTCCTCCTGAAAGACAACCAGTTGTTAGAGATTGAGGCCTTGGCATTCTCAGAACACAGTATTTGGGAGGCCCCTGGGTGTCCCTATGTGACTGAAGCCCTGAAGCCCTGCTTCTCTGGAGTTTCTCCCGCCTGCCAGGTGCCGTGGGAGAAGGTGAGGTGTGTGGGAAGCTTCGGTAAGAACCAGGGGCCTGCTGCCAAGACCTGGGACTTCTAGGGTACGGCCCACCTGGGTGAGCCGGCAGAGGCGGGAAGACAGGACCTAACACAGACTGAGTGTGATGGAAAGCTGGCAAAGAAATGACATGATGTGATTCCTGTCTTTAAAATTCTCATTTGGGAGAGAGCTCACTCTTTGGGGAGGTGGAAGGAACTGGTGACTTCTCCAGAGGAGACCTGGTAGAGGAGGGCCATGAGAAGTGGACCCGCCGGGGAGGTCTCCACAAGCAGGCCTCACCTCCCGCCGCTCACACCTGGGGCTGGTCCAGAGGACAGAACCAGTTGCAATCTATAAATATTGACGTTGGTCAATTCTAGTTTATGTCTGTTTTACCGTCCCGATCTTTCGGTTTCTTCCTTGTGTAATATTTTGTCATGTATGGGACACGCACCACTACCCCTACTCAGGAGTGCAGCTACAAATAGGGTATGAGAGGGGGACCCATCCAGGCCAAGAGTAGGGCACGGGCAGCCCCTGGAACTCATTTCCCATGGCACTGTCGCCAGAGTCCCAGTAGAAAGGGTCCTGTTCCAATAATGTTGAAATGGAGGAGGAACGTATTTTGATGATGTTAGTGATTTAAAAAAAAAGTGGGGGGAGCTTTTAAATAGAGTGGGTGTGGGGAGGAAACAGCTAGGTGACTAGGCCACCTTGGAAGTACTACTGTCTAGCAAATAGCCTAGTTAGAAAGGGGGCGCCCCTAGAACCTAGTGGCTGATATTATTGGGCTAACTCACACATACTGAGCTTGCTGTCTGGGAAGATGAATGAGCCTCTAAGGTCACCAGATATATCTCTCCTCACACTTGAAAAAATATTCTGCATCAATTAGGATGTTTTTGGCTGTAATTGAGTCTTCCTAACCAAAATTGACTTAAGGCATGTCTGGCTGGCTCAGTCAGAAGAGTGTGTGATTCTTGATCTCAGGGTCGTGGGTTTGAGCCCCAACTGCATGTAGAGATTACTAAAAAAAATAAACTTTATTTATTAAAGATTTATTTATTTATTTGAGAGAGAGAGAGAGCATGAGTGGGAGGGGCAGAGAGGGAGAGGGAATCTCAAGCAGAGCCCCACGCGGGGCTCCATCCCAGGACCCAGAGATCATGACTGAGCCGAACCCAAGAGTTAGAGGCTTACCCGACTGTGCCATCCAGGTGCCCACAAAAGTAAATAAACTTTAAAACAAAACAAAACCGACTTAAGCTGTAGAATTTTCATAATCTTGCTTAACAAGAAGCCAGCAGAACAGTCCCTAGATTGACTCAGTGGCTGAGCCTGTCCCCCAGGACTTTGCCATCTCTCCCCTCACCCACCCTCCTTGGCAACATCTTCCCTCAAGGTGGCAAGGTGGCTGCTGCAGATCCAAATATCACACTATCGTGCAACAACATCCCAAACCTTCCCTCCTTCTCTCCTCTTTTCTCTTTTTTAATCACAGAGGGCAATCTTTCTTAAAAGCCTACCCCCACCTCCCACCAGGAGACGTCCCCTTTCACTTCACTGGTCAGAACTGGGGCACACAGGCTCCGCTGACCCAGCTGCAGGGAACATGTGGTGGTGTGGGCCATGATTCATCCTATCAACAGGGAAGAGGGAATGCTTGCTGGGAACTGACCCCCTGTGTCTGCCATTACAGTTTTGTTCTTTTCTCTGATTCCAGGAGTCATATATGTCCAGTGTAGACAATTTAGGAAATCCAGAGAAGGATGAAGTAGAAAATAAAATCGCATACTCTATCACCTGGATCCAAGCACTGTCTTATCCCTTTGCACTGCTTTTATCCTTCTCTGCGCTCTGCTCCGCCCCGGCCCTCCATCCTGCTCTTGCACCAGCCCTTCATCTCTGCCCACCCACTCCCAAACCACCTTCGGTTCAGCACGGAAACACTTGCTGTTGGCATTGACCCCAAATTCCTCCCTCGCTTTTTTTTAAAGCTGTGAAAAAAAATCGTAAATAACGGAGTATGTAAAATGGACGCGTATGGTTTAAATAATGCTGCGATGAAGGCTTGTGAACCCACCACTCAGTCTGAATGCTTTGACGCCCTCATCACATCCCCTCCTGAAGTGGCTGTTACTTATTGCATTAACCATTTGTGGCCACAAAAATGCCACGTATTGCCTCAAAACTCAACAAGCATTCATCTCACTCTCAGGGTCTGCAGGTTGCACTAATCTAGATTGGGCTTGGTGGGGTGGCTCTGCTTCAGGTGGTGGGTTGTCTGGGTTTGGCTCCAGACTGCAGGCTGGACCCAGGTCTGCTCCACATGTCTCTCATCCTACTAGGATCAGAGTCTACCTGGTATATATTCTCCTCCTGGCAGCTCACTGACATGGGAGAACCACGTCCAACAGCAGCATAAGCACGTCTAAGGCTGCTCAAGTCACGTTTACTAACATTCTACTGGCCAACGCAAATCATATGGCCAAGCCCAGCCTCAGTGGGACAGGGAAGTGCGCTCCCTTCACAGCAGAGGGAGGGACCCCGAACATTTGCTAAACCATAAGCCAGACTGCCACAAACATGCCTTTGGTTTTCTTTTTTTTTTTTTTAATTTTTTTTTAAAGATTTTATTTATTTATTTGACAGAGAGAGACATAGCGAGGGAGGGAACACAAGCAGGGGGAGTGGGAGAGGGAGAAGCAGGCTTCCCGCGGAGCAGGGAGCCCGATGCGGGGCTCGATCCCAGGACCCTGGGACCATGACCTGAGCCGAAGGCAGACGCTTAACGACTGAGCCACCCAGGCGCCCCGCCTTTGGTTTTCTTTATGGTTTTGTCAGAAAGGGATGTATCTCTGCGTAATATATTAGTTGGTTTTCTCTGGTTTTGAATTTTATTTTTTATTTCTTATTTTTTATTTTTTTAAAAGATTTTATTTATTTATTTGACAGAGAGACAGAGTGAGAGGGAACACAAGCAGGGGGAGTGGGAGAGGGAGAAGCAGGCTTCCCGCAGAGCAGGGAGCCCGATGCAGGGCTTGATCTCAGGACTCCGGGATCATGACCTGAGCTGAAGGCAGACGCTTAACCAACTGAGCCACCCAGGCGCCCGTAATGTTTTTTTTTTTTTTTTTTTTAAGATTTTATTTATTTATTTGACAGAGAGAGAGAGCACAAGCAGGGGGAGCTGTAGGCAGAGGGAGAGGGAGAAGCAGGCTTCCTGCTGAGCAGGGAGCCCGATGCGGGGCTCTACTCCAGGACCCTGGGATCATGACCTGAGCTGAAGCCAGACGCTTAACGACTGGCACCCCTGGCTTTCAATTTTATATAAATGGATTCTGAGTGGATATATTTTCTCGGAGTTATGTTTCTCCTCCCTTCTCCTTACTTTGTTTTCTCCCTGTTTTATCAGTCAGGAAGTTTGGTTGTGAAAACAGACACCAATTCTGGCTCACTTAAAGGAAAGGAATTTATTGGAAGGTTGGGTGGTTAACAGAATTGATGGGAAGATTGGATGGAGAACCAGGCTCAGGAAGTGGACAGGATACAGATGAGTAGTTGCCTGGGGCTGGAGATGGAGAGTCCCTCTACAGGGAACTCCCTGTAAAGGGGCACAAAGAAACCTTTTGGGTTGATGAAAATATTTTGTATCTTGATTGTGAGAGTGGTCATATGGGATTAGTCAAAACTCATCAAAACTATACACTTCAAATGCATGCAGTTTATTATATGTAAATTATACATCACCTCGATATAAAAAAGAGGACCTGCTTCATTTAATAATAATTTTTAAGTCTGTAGTGGCTAGTGCTTGAGAAAACAACTGTGGGGTTCTCCCCAGACCAGTTTTACATGATTTGGGTGCTATTTCTGGCTCTATACCTGGTTCTCTAGGCCTCTTGTTGATTCTGTGAGCTCCCCAATAGCACTTTTTGTTTTTGAAATATAAACAGATATATCTCAAGAAACAATTCAGTGATTTAAGTATATTCACAGAATTGTGACACCATCACCACAATCAACTTTAGAACATTTCATCACCCCAAAAAGAAAGGCCATTACTCTGGCAGTCATATAGTGCTCCCATAACGAAGTGTCCGGGTGGCCTAAAGCAACAGAAATGGATCCTCTCACAGTTCTGGAGGCAAGGAGTCCCAAACAAGGTGCTGGTAGGACCATGCTCTCTCTGCAGGCTCTCGGGAAGGATCTGTTCCATGCCTTTCTCTTAGCTTCTCATGCTGCCAGCGTTCCTTGGTGCTCCTTGGCTGCCAGGCACATCACTGCAAGTTGCTGCCTCTGCAGCCACGTGACGTTCTCTGTGTCTCATGGTTTCACATGTCCTTCTTTTCTCTTTGTGCATTCTCTGTGTGTCTGTCCTCTTCTTATAAAGACATCAGTCATATTAAAGAACATACTCTACTCTCATATGACCTTATCTTAGTTTACATCTTGATTATGTTTGCAAAGACCCTATTTCCCAAAAAGGCCACATTCACAGGTACCAGGGGTTAGGACTTTACATACTTGTTCAGGGGACATAATTCAGCCCGCAACACCTTCTCATCCCTAGGCAGCCACTAAGCTGTGATCTGTGTTTATGGATTTACCTACTCTGGACACTTCATATAAATGTAATCATACAATATGTAGTCTTTTGTGACTACTTTCCTTCACATAGCATAATGTTCTCAAGGTTCATCCATGTTGTAGCATATTGTATTAGTACTCCGTTACTTTTTATTTGAAATAACATTCATTGTATAGATATACTGTATTTTGTCTATTCATTCCTTAATTGATGGACATTTGGGTTGTTTCCATTCTTTGGCTATCACGAATGGTGCTGCTGTGAACATTCTTTTACATATTTTTGTGTGAACATATTTTTTTTTTAAAGATTTTATTTATTTATTTGACAGAGAGAGAGAGCACAAGCAGGGGGAGCTGTAGGCAGAGGGAGAGGGAGAAGCAGGCTTCCTGCTCAGCAGGGAGCCCGATGCGGGGCTCGATTCCAGGACCCTGGGATCATGACCTGAGCTGAAGGAAGGCAGACACTTAACGACTGAGCCACCCCAGCACCCCGTGAACATGTTTTAATTTCTCTTGGATATATACCTAGGAGTGTAATTGTTGGGTCATATGGCTCCTCTATGTTTAATTATGAGGACCTGCCAGTCTGTTTTCCAAAGAAGCTACACCATTTTACATCCCTACCAACAATGTATGGGGTTTCCAATTTCTCCACATCTTTGCCAACACTTGTTTTTATCTATCTTTTAAATTATTAGTCATTCCAGTGAGTTGGAAGTATTTCATTGTGCTTTCGATTTAGCATTTCTGTAACAACTAATGATGTTGAGCACCTTTTCATGTGCTTATTCTCATATTCTTTTTTTTTTTTAAAGATTTTATTTATTTGTTTGTCAGAGAGAAAGGGAGAGAGAGAGAGCACAAGCAGGGGGAGCGGCAGGCAGAAGGAGAAGCAGCAGGCAGAAGGAGAAGCAGAATCCCCCCTGAGCAAGGAGCCCAAGCAGGATTCAATCCCAGGACCCTGGGATCATGACCTAAGCTGAAGGAAGACAGTTAACCAACTGAGCCATCCAGGTGACCTTCCTTTTTTTTTTTTTTTTAAGTAGGCTCCATGCCTAGCATGGAGCCCAATGCGGGGCTTGAACTCATAGCTGTGAGGTAGAGACCTTAGCTCAGACCAAGAGTTGGATGCTTAACGGACTAAGCCACCTAGGTGCTCCTCCCATATTCTTTTAATGAATTCCTTCTCTTAAATCAGCCAGAAATTTTTGTCATGTTTTTGTTGCTTGACACCTGCAAACAACAAAACCATGAATCCCTGAAACTTTCCTGAAAGTCTCCTTAAGAGGTATCTGTCTTCTGAGTTGGTTGTGGGTCTAACAAAGGAGTTCTCCAGGGGTCCTTTGAGTTTTACTTTAAGGTCCCTTGAAGACCCCAAGGGTCCAGGAGTTCCATTTCACAGGGGCCCTCAAAATTCACCAAGGCCCTCAGGGGTGAGAGGTTGCTTCCAAACTCATTAAATCATTTAGAAAACACTCATTCACTCTCCCTACTTGTCCCAGGCCTGGCTTGGTGCCTAGGGCCCTTCAAGGAGCTCATCATCTGCTACAGAAGGCAGACATGGACACAGCCAGTTTCTGCTCAGAGTGACCAGTGCTGCTGCAGAAGAAAACAAGGTCTCTCTGTCCCTGGGAACAGGATGCTTCTTAGAGATGGCAATAGCTGAGATAAGTCCTGGAGGTTGAGTGGGAGATAGCCAGGTGAAAGGTGGGATATGTGATGATGCTCGAGAAATGGCTCAGTCAAAGGGACAGCTTTGTATTAGTGATGATGTAAGTTCAACTGCTATAACAGTAATCCTCTGTGATGTAAATAGGTATAGATCTTTAAAGTTCAACTGTGAGCTAACCTAGTGGGAATATAAATTATGTTTACCAAAACTCAGTGGCTTGAAACAATGGACATTACCAAAACTTAGCGGCTTGAAACAATGGACATTTATTGTCTCACATGTTATCTGTGGTCAAGAATTTGGAAATGGCTTACCTAGGTGGTTCTTACTCAAGGTTCTCATGCAGTTGCAGTCAAGACATGAGCCAGGGCTGTGGTCATCCAAAGGCTCGACAGGAAGCTTGGTTATTGGCAGGAGGTCTTAATTCTTCATAATGTGGATCTGTTCTCATGACATGGCAGCCGGCTTCTGCCAGAGCAAGTGATCTAAGAAAGAGTGAGGCAGAAGCCACAATGCTTTTTATTATATAGTCTCAGAAGTCACCCTCTGTCAGGGATATGAATACCAGGAGGTAAGAATCATGGGGCCCATCTTGGAGGTTGGATAACATAATCTGCCTTTTAAAAAATATATTTTATTTATTTATTTGAGAGAAAGAGTGAGCGAGAGAGTGAGAGAAAGAGAGGGAGAGCATGAGCAGGGGGAGAGGGAGAGGGATAAGCAGACTCCCCGCTAAGCAGGGAGCCCAACATGGGGCTTTATCCCACAACCCTGGGATCATGACCTGAGCTGAAGGCAGACACCCAACCGACTGAGCCACCCAGGTGCCCCTATAATCTGCTTTTTTGACCCCAATGATTTATGTCTCTCCTACATGCAAAATATTCTCACCTTCCCCTAAGGCCCTAAAAGTCTCATCCTGTCACAGCATCAACTTGAAATCCTGAATTTTGTCACATTACTCAAGTTCCGATGAAAACAAGTCTCCTTAGAAGTAGTTCCTTAAGTATTCTCATCAACTACAGAGTTCTGCTTTATCCAAACACCTGCAAATGAGAGACAAGTTATCTGTTCTCTACCCGCCCAACACACAAGCAGGCCCAAGGTAACTGCTATGGACTCTCCTGCTGAAATAGGGAGGAAACAGGCGTACAGGAGTCACTGTCCATAGCAATTCTGAAATCAAGCAGTTCTATGATTCAGATCAAATTTAGGACTATTTCTCTGTGGGTCTTGGTTCTGTCCTCTGAATCATCCTTCCTTTCTCATGAAAGGTGGCCAGTGTTTGCAGCTGAGTAGTTGTTTCAGCCTATTTCCTAAACTGTTGTATAAGTTAAGGAATCTGCAGTTCTCTTTTCATTTTATGTTGTCCCTGGCCCTTTCAAATGTAGACATTTGAGTTTGTGACACATGGTTTAGACAAAGTCCTTATAGGGAAAAACAAAATCTGTACTCAGGGAACATCCAGGAGTTCAGTATGACCAAAATATTGGGTGTTCCCTGGGTTTCTCTCTGCTAGAATGTCTAAACACATATCCACAGTTATTGTAGAATTATGTGTTAACCCTCATACCTGACTGTGAGAACCTCTAGGGCAGGGCCTATTTCTCAAGAAGAAATAGACAAATCCATTATGCTGGGATATTTTAATACAACTCTCTCAGGAACTGATAGAATATGCAAATAAAAACATCAATAAGAACACAGAAAATTTGAATAACATGCTTCAAGACTTTGACCTAATTGACATAATAGAACACTGGATCCAATAACCATAGAACACATAATTCTTTTCAAGTGCACATCAAATATATATCGATATGCTCAGCCATAATGTAAGTCTAACCAAATTTCAAAGAGCTAAAATCGTATAGAGTATGTTCAATGATCACAGTTGGATTATGCTAATCATCAAAATCAAAAAGAAAACTAGAAAATCCCCAAATATTTGGAAATTGAATAGCACACTAGTAAATAACCCAAAGGTCAAAAAAGAAATCACAATAGAAAGTAGAAAATATTTGGTTCAAATGTAATGAAAATATAATATGTTAAAACTTGTAGAATGTAGCTAAAGCCATGTTTAGAGTGAAATTTGTGGCTTTAAATGAATATATTTCCCCCAAAAATGGCTGAAAATCAACTATCTAAATATCTACCTCAAGTAGTTAGGAAAAACATTCAGAAATTAAATCCAAATAAAGTAGAAGGAAGAAAATAATAAAGTTGACAGGATAAGTTATTAAAATAGAAAATGAAGATATGGGGGCACCTGCGTGGCTCAGTTGTTTAAGTGTCTGCCTTCGGCTTAGGTCATGATCCCAGGGTCCTGGGATCAAGCCCCACATCGGGCTCCTTGCTTAGTGGGGAGTCTGTTTCTCCCCTCTCTCTCTCTGTCTCTGCCCCTGCTTGTGCGCGCTCTCTCTCTCTCAAATAAATAAATAAAATCTTTAAAAAAAAAGAAAAAGAAAATGAAGATATGAAAGAGGAATCAAAGAACCAAAAGTTAATTTTCTGATAAAACTACTAAAATTGATAAACTTTTGGCTAGACAGATGAAGGACAAAAAGAGGAGACACAATTATCACTTTAGAAATGAAAAGAATGCCATCACTACAGATCCCACATGAATCAAAAAGACAGTGAGAGGATATTGTAAATAACTATATCCCAACAAACTTGAAATTCAAATGACGTGAACAGATAACTAGAAAAACACAAACTGACACAGGAAGAAATAGGAAAACTGAGTAGTCCTGTTTCTATTAAAGAAATTGAATCTTTTGTTAAAAAAAAAAAATCTTCCTACAAAGAAAACTCCAGGTCCACATGCTTCCAGAGAATAGAAAAAGTAGGAGTGCTTCTCAATTTATTTTATGTGATCAGCATTACCTAGATACAAAAACCTAACAAGGGCATTATAAGGAAGGAAAATTAGAGGCCAAACAGAGATGCAAAAATTCTAGGGGCGCCTGGGTGGCTCAGTCGTTAAGCATCTGCCTTCGGCTCAGGTCATGATCCCAGGGTCCTGGGATCAAGCCCGGCATCAGGCTCCCTGCTCAGCGGGGAGCCTGCTTCTCCCTCTCCCACTCCCCCTGCTGTGTTCCCTCTCTTGCTGTGTCTCTCTCTGTCAAATAAATAAAATCTTTAAAAAACAAAAACAAAAAAACCACAAAGATGCAAAAATTCTAAACAAAATATCAGCAAACCAAACCCAAAGATCTAGAAGTAGGATAATACTACACAACCAAGTTGTGTTAACTCCAGGGATACAAAGTTGACTTGACATTTGAAAATTAATCAAAATAACTCACCACTTTAACAGAATAAAGTTAAGAAACCATAGGATCATCTCAAGAGATGTAGAAAAATTTATAAAGTTACCACCCATTTATGGTAAAAACCTTTCAAACTAAGAATAGAAGGGAACTTCCTTCATCTGATAAAGGACATGCACAAAAAAACCTACATCCAACATCATACTTACTGATGAAATATAAAAACCTTTCCTCCTGAGATGGGAATGAGAAAAGGGTGCCCACTATCACCTCTTCTATTCAACACTGTGCTGTCCCTTATGAAATAACAAGAAAGAGTGTAGGACCAGAAAAAAATAATTAAAATCATAATTATTTGAGGTCAGGGGCTTGGCTTGATTTTTCTGCTGGGACCCGGCACAGAGTAGGTGTTTGGTGGGTAATTGTTGAGTGGACAGATGGAGCAATGGATGTTAAGCAGTGGGGCCCCAAGGCAGGGCGTATGCTACAGGGACACTGACCACTACATAATCAACAGAAAAAGTAAAACAACAGTGAAGTTGCACATGGCGGAATTTTTTTTTTTTTTTTAAAGATTTTATGTATTTATTTGACAGAGAGAGAGATAGCAAGAGCAGGAACACAAGCAGGGGGAGCGGGAGAGGGAGAAGCAGACTCCCCACAGAGCAGGGAGCCCGATGTGGGACTTGATCCCAGGACCCTAGGATCATGACCTGAGCCGAAGGCAGACGCTTAACGACTGAGCCACCCAGGTACCCATGGCGGAATTTTTTATTGATAAAAAACTGATGGAAGAATCAGGAAACCTTCCTGATAAAATATAGATCAGCAAAGTCTTGGCCACTATGTCCATTTCTTTTTTCTCTCTAGGAGCTTTAGTAGAGAGGTAAGGATATTTGGCCCCTGCTTTGACCCCAAGGATTTAAAAATTCCTTAACAATTTTTTTTTAAATTTTAAGGATTTTTATTTTTACTTTTTTTTTTTTAAAGATTTTATTTATTTATTTGACACAGAGAGAGACAGCGAGAGAGGGAACACAAGCAGGGGGAGTGGGAGAGGGAGAATCAGGCTTCCCGCACAGCAGGGAGCCCAACGCAAGGCTCAATCCCAGGACCCCAGGATCATGACCTGAGCCAAAGGCAGACGCTTAACGACTGAGCCACCCAGGTGCCCCCTTTATTTTACCATTTTTAAAAAAGATTATTTATTTATTTATTTATTTATTTTCATTTATGCATTTTTATTTGCTAATGTTTATATCAGTACACTAAAACTAAATTTTAGAGACACTGGATTTCATTAGTTTGGATACCATTAGTTTATTATAAAAGAGAGACATGAAAATTATTTACATAATGAAAGATTTCACTAATTCACTGGAATGGGTAGTTTCACTTCATGCCATTTTAATAATGATTTCAGTCCACATACTATCCGAGAATGTCACCATCTCTAAATAAGAAAGAATCCTTGTCATCTAGAACTACTTCGGTGCCTCCATATTCTGGGAGAAGAACTTTATCTCCAACTTTCACACTAACTGGTTCAATCTCTTCACCCTTTCCTTTATTTATTTATTTATTTAAGATTTTATTTATTTATTTGTGAGAGAGAGAGCACATGAGAGGGGGGAGGGTCGGAGGGAGAAGCAGGCTTCCCACCGAGCAGGGAGCCCGATGCGGGACTCGATCCAGGGACTCCAGGATCATGACCTGAGCCGAAGGCAGTCGCTTAACCAACTGAGCCACCCAGGCGCCCTTCACCTTTCCTTTAGAGCCTGATCCAACAGCTACAAAAGTGCTTGCAACACTTTTCCTTGAGATTTTTCTGGAAGCATAATACCTCCTTTCGTTACAGTTTCAGCTGCGCTCCTTTCAACTAAAACTCGGTCAAAGAGGGGAAGAAACTTTCTAAACGCCTGCCCTGCCATGACTCTGGCCGCCACAGTTCACACTCTGCTCTGGAGCTGCTGCCGCTGCAAGGAGACCCGCAGTTCGACACTATTTACTTATTTTTTTAAAAGATTTTATTTATTTCTTTGAGATAGAGAGTGAGAGAGAGAGAACACGAACGGGGGCGGGGACAGAGGGAGAGGGAGAAGCAGGTTCGCCACCGAGCGGGGAGCCCGATATGGGGCTTGATCCCAGAACCCTGGGATCATGACCTGAGCCAAATGTAGATGCTTAACCAACTGATCCACCCAGGCGCCCCTAATTTACTTATTTTAGAGGGAGAGAAGAAGAGAGAGAGACAGAGCATGTGGTGGGGAGGGGCAGAGGGAGAGGGAGAGAGAGAGAATCCCAAGCTGACTCCCCTGAGTGTAGAGCTGGAAGGGGGCTCGATCCCACAACCCCAAAATCATGACCTGAACTGAAATCAAGAGTTGGCCACTCAACTGAATGAGCCACCCAGGTGCCCCTAAAGATTTTTTTTTTAAAGATTTTTATTTATTTATTTGACACACACAGAGAGATAGTGAGAGAGAGAGCACAAGCAGGGGGAGCGGCAGGCAGGTAGAGGGAGAAGCAGGCCTCCTGCGGAGCAGGGAGCCCGATGCAGGGCTCGATTCCAGGACCCTGGGATCATGACCTGAGCTTAACTGACTGAGCCACGCAGGTGCCCCATGAATACAAATTTTTGATGGAATTATATCATATTGATTACTTTTCACAGAGAAAATATTTCCCAGGACAAATCCCATTAAGTCAGTTCAATACCTTTGATTTTTCTATACAGCTATTAAATCTATTTCCAACTTATTCA